CTATTACCAATATGAATTATGTATCAAATTTGCCAAGGAAACAATTAGTTGACATTTTGTTGGTTCCTTACGTTGAAACAACGTTGACAACTAAACGAATCTCGACTAACTTTCTTTGGTCGCATGATAAACGTTGAATCAACGTTTATGAAAGGTTGATCAACCAAACAACCAAAATTCAACGTTGATTCAACGTTGATTCAACGTTGTGTGCCCGCTGGGATATATTCTTGTTCTATCTGACTTCCATCTTCTAAAATGCCACTCAATGTCTGTATGTTGTTTTACGTCGCACTCAGCAATATTCCAGCTATGTTGCGTCGGTCTGTAAATAATAAAGTCTGAACGCGACAATCCAGTGATCAAGAACATGAGCATCGATCTACGCAATTCGGATGATGACATGTGTCAACCAAGTCCGCGAGCCTGACAACCCGATCCCGTTAGTCGCCTCTTACAAGCATGGGCTGTAATTCAAAGCATGGCCTGTAGGACCAGTTCTAACCCGGATCTTCATGTTTAGAAGACCGAAATAAACAACCCCGGTCCTGTGAATTAGAATTTGAAACAGTTTATGGTTAGTATAAATATAAAGAAAGACTCCTACTGTAAATACAGCTTTTTTATTTATTCAATACAAAGCAGTTAAAAATGCACAAATCACAACGCACAATAAATCTCAGTTTATTGCACCCGTAAGGAATGAACGTCAAACACAGCCATTAACACATCGCAGCGATGCCCTGAGATATCAGTCAAAGCTATCGGGACACCATGGATACACGGAGAAAGACGAGAGGCGACGATGACAAAAGATACTCTTCCGGTTACTAGGGTCATGACCGCTGCTCATCAGACGACAAGTACGGGGTAACCGGAAGACCCGGTTAAGATAAGCAGAGAATTCTGTGAAGGATCCTCGATTATAACGTGCAATATATAACTATACTGTGATAAATATCCTGAACCCATTCTAAGCCTCAGCTTCGTTTCGGAAGTGACGTAACATCCTCTATAGTTTCTATCGCTGGCAAGGACTGATTTTGTTTGGGTTCTCCAGATTAGTTTTTATCAGACTACCAATCGAATCGGGTTCAAAGTTTATCAGACTAGCAATCGAATCGGGTTCAAAGTCTATCAGAGTACCAATCGAATCGGGTTGAAAGCGAGGCTAGTGCAGCGATCAAGGTCATTTATCACATGGAACCAACATATATTACATTAGACAGGTTTTGTTTGAGACAGAACATTTTTCAGAAGAAATCTTCAGAACACGTATTTAGGGTTGGACGTCCGACAAGTCTGCAGAACGATGAGAAGTTGGACGGCTGGAACCTTAGTAGGTGCGTCTTCAGAGTTTCAGTAGAACTGTCAGTCTTGTACAGCTATTAAACAAGGACGTCATATGCACCACTTCCGTCTCACTGTATCTGTTCACGTGTATCGGTGTGCCTTCTCACTCGTGTCGACATGAACCCCTATCATGGTTTATCTTTGGCATAAATGATAAAGCATATTGTTATTTTGTAGTGACTAGTTAGTGAGTTGAGTTTGACGCCACACTGAACCTTTATCATCGTGGGTAATGTATAACTTACAGAGCGAACCGTCGATCAAAGGCTTCTGGGACGCCTAAGGGACGTAACTCGAATGGGACGACCGGACTGTCCCGTTACTGAATGATGTCATACTGATACTATTGGGATGCAAATTACTAAAGAGATTACAAGACAGCGTAAATTTCGGATGCAGGCTGAAACAGGCTCTCCATTTCGCCAACTGCTCACATTGTCAAAAAGAACCCACCAAAATAAACAGATCACCATCAGTATATGGAGCAACAAGAAAAATGCACATTACGATGACGTTATTTGGAGATCCCATGTTACGAGTACACGTATTTCGTTTTCATAGCGCCATTTCATTTCGCTGTCGTTTGCGTGGCTGCGCATGCCCTAAAGTATGCCGGTTTTAGACAAGCCCACTAAGATACCACTCTGCATTGATACCCCATCCTCGATAATCTCCAGGGTATACGTTACGATCACTCGCCACTATACCCTGGATGCATCCACGGCTTGTGGCGATGATTTTATTACCTCCCTTGGCTGGCTTTTTATCCAGTCAGGTGCCTACGCTGGGAAGTTGAGCGTACCAATCACTACTCACTTTCTCGTCTTAAATTATCTAACCGTTTAAACTTGGCAACACAATTGATGCAGAGGTACTCTGAAAGAAGTAGAAGTTCTTTCATATATTCTTTTTAAAGTTTCAGATCTGTGAATTTGTCTTTAATATTTCCCTAAAAATCTGAGTGGCACTGCGATCAAACCTTTGCGACGGCGACCGCTATCTGTGTTGACACTGGCAAGCTCGGTTGTAACGGTGGCTTAGCTGATTGGCTACTGTGAGAATGCGGAGCCAGCCAAGGGAGGTAATATAAAGCCGTGGTTGCATCCAGGGTATAGCGGAGAGTGATCGTAACGTATACCCTGGAGATTATCGAGGATGTGATACCCCAGTCAGACACAATATACTAACTCCGACCTCGCCAGTCCTCCATTCCCTCACTACTGATTGCCTGGATAGGCAACAACAAGTACCATCTTGTTTGGTGTGACGTGGACAGGGAATCGAACTGCCCTACACCACTAAGGCGGCCTGGGGATAGAACCACCCACCTTCGGAGCTCCGGGCAGACCCTCGGAGCACTATCGCGCACCCCCCTCACCACGGAAACTCCCCTTAAGATCCGGGTTGGTCTCCAGTAACCATGCTTGTCGTAAGAGGCGACTAGCAGTCAGGATCGGGTGGTCAGGCTCGCTGACTTGGTTGAAACATATCATCGTATCCCAATTGCGTAGATGGATGTTCATGCTATTGATCACTGGATTGTCTGGCCCAGACACGATTATTTACAGACCGCCGCCATGTAGCTGGAATATTGCTGAGTGCGGCGTTGAACAAAAGCCAAACAAGCACAGAAGCGGTCTCGGGCACGCGCCATATATTCTACACCACGGAGACACAATGAGATGAGTGAGATGACTAAATACGGGCGTAAAACAAAAGTACATCCGGGTTTTTGTATGGGTCGTCTTAAAAGTGAATCATTGCACACTGTGATCGTTTACTGTGTATATTTTCGTTTTATCACCCGCGATGTAGCCACGAGCATACTGTTCCAGAAGGCGACATAAAACTCAATTCACTCACTTACCCAACTGACAAGGAATGCTAGCGAAGCGCAATGCATATATTCGTATGGCAAAGTAACCAGCTGCATTTTCTTTTGTCCTGGCACAGTTTTCTAGCATCGCTGGAGAGATTGCATATACAACTGAAAGCATTTAAACAAAACAAAACAAACTAAACATCATCAACAAACAACAGACCGACATCATGTGACATTAAATGAAAGTCCCTCTACCGCCGAATGGGGACTTTCCAACATATGCGAGACTGTCCCAGTTCGGTGTCTGTCATAAATACACGCTGGGGTTGATATACTGGGTAAAAACACGGGGATGGTGCTGGGGTGAAACTATATAAATAAGTAACTCTCCAACAAAGGAATAAACCTGCATGTTAACAATGTTGCACAGTATACTACTCAAACTGTGGTAAGAACACCCGATTCATTTTATTAATATAATACCATCGCAAATTAGTAATGGGAAAGAATCTTTCTATATTTGAGAGGTATATATTGTCGTAAAAATGTCAACAATTTTTATTCTGCTTCATTCAGTATAGCACAGACTGTCGGGACATCTGTAAAGTCTGCCTCTGTATTTTCTAGGATTAATGTTCGAGATTACACTTGTCAGTCGTCACATCAAGGCATATCATTGTTTGTACTGACAGGAGGATACAAACATTTTGGTATCACTACAATAATGTTAACACACCCAGTATGCCGTATGAATGCTCATGCTTGGGATTAAAGATCAGGACAGAGTTGGGCATACAAACAATATCACTGACCCGGCAGCTAATATATGCAATATAAATATACATAATATGTATAACTTAAATATAGAAAGTATCACGATTCCCTTCCGAAAAGCCTGCAATACAGATACGTCATGATCGCATCTGCCCCAGCGTGCAGATCCGCAAAGTTCCGGTAAGGTACGTGAAGTTTCGTGAAGTTCCGTCCGTGCAGCCTCGTTGAAATGTCTGTCAACTGGCCTTTAGGTTATGAGCATATTTGGCAGTTATCGTCACATGAGATCCATGGATATATCAATACTTGATTCGACAAGTTCCGAAATTTAAAACATCCCAGACGGAAAAAAACCGACGCCGACTGAATGCAACAGAACAACAATCTAGTGGAGAACAACAATCTGAATGACTGCTGTTTAACCATTCGTAACTACTCGTGTCATTCCGGCAAGCCGGATGACGTCTCGTACCCCTCTCGTGGCCATGTTAACGACTGGGCTCTGTCTCGGCGCAAACGGGCATGGAGATGAAAATAGTCTAGTACTATTACCAAGGAAAGATAACTCTGAATTTCCAAACATAACTCCTAGAATATCTCTTTCTTGTGGGCTAAACAGCAATACAGTCATTCCCTTTGTAAGTATGTTTCAGTGTTTAAAGTTTCTGATCATTTAGCTAAGAGTAATGTTTAAATTGTGCTTTGCATACTTTAGCGAAGTTTCAAACTTCAAAGGTGCCGCCATTTTCATGCATCGAAATGCGTTTTACTACGCGCGATTTGATTGGTTTGCCACGATTCTTGGCAATAATGGCGTACGATTAGGGGTACGAGTCTTCTTGTAGGTCACGGAAATAGGCGAGTAGTTACGAATGCTGTTTAACATGGTTTCCTCACGACATATATACATGGCTAACAGGAATGCCAATGTTAAATTCACACAGCATGGTAACCGATGATATCACAAACGAATTCCTTCACATTGCTTTGTTAAAGCGATATTTTAATATATATCGTCTTCGGTAAATTCCACCAAGTGAAACATGCTGAAATTGATGTTTTCAGGTCGATGTTTGATTTCAAGACAGACTTGGACGTGTTCTCGTTGAAAGGCACGGCGTTTAGACGCGAATGTTACCACAGTTAATGTTGTGTCGATGTTAAAAGGGCCTATGTCAATACTTCGTGCCACCCGATGTTCGACACAACCGTAAAATGATGACTAAATGCAACAACAGTAAGATCGGCACATCCAAGTTCGACACAATCGTGTTTGACTGTATTTGCTATGATTTTATGAAATTCGGTCAACATATTGTCGTGGAATACCATATGTCATCTCCAGAGTCTCCTTGGGTAATCTGTCCAGGGCCCTGAAGTGTGTTGACACCGTCTCCCACGACAGCTCTTTCAGCTTTGGCACATGATACGGGATTCTCCATCTGAACATGCGCGATGACCTGACCCCACCGTCCGTCACGCCACCATACACGTATAGATGATATGAAGGGGAGACAACTGCACGATGGAAATACAACTTCTCGGGAAGAACGACGGGTACTCGACACCACTGAAAAGATTCTAGGGATATTTTCCATATGTCCGTGAGCCCCACGTGCGGCACCGTGTCTATGTAAAACCGCCCCCCGCAGATATAAACCCAACATCCGATCTGCACCAAGCCAAAACTGCATCTTGCGGCGGGGTAACCTTGTAATGGATCACGGGCTGTTCTGATTTCCTCCCACCTGTTTGCAGTCACGTCGTAGGCGAATATGCTTTTGAGCTCTTCTGTAAAATGGAGCCGTCCTCCTCCGAAAACGAAAAACCTTGAACAATGAATAATAAATGATAAGTCAGAGTGTATGTTTTGTGGACATGCTGTTCCATTAAAATCACAACGAACTGTAAATATAAGATCTAAGCTAAACCTGTGATTGATACTATGAACAACCTTGCACGCCGTACAGTGACTGGCAATCACCAAACTCACCGCGCCCGAACCCCCCATACATTTGTCAGCCCCCTATACATTAGTCACCCATTACCACAGAGTGTTTAGGATTTCCCCGCGTCCAGTGGAGTCCAATATTACGGTAACTTCAGATGTAATAAATCAGTTTACAGCTGTACTGTGATCACCCGCCTTCATGCACGACACTGAGCCTGACCCTCCGATCTATTCTGACACGAAAACCCGTCGGGGTTAATCTTAATCTGATTTAGACACAAAACTCATTCTACTATCGCACACCTAGACTAATGCTTAGTCTCTGAATATATATTATTTTGATAGTAACAAACAAGCCCATTTAAATTGAAAAGGAGCCCCAGGGAGACCAGAGATTCCTGAACCTGAGGAAATCTAGACTTGCTTTATTTCGGGCTTTAGCACTGCAGAGAGGGCTTGGCAGTGGGGATAATAATGTTGTTCAGGGACTGTGAGACAGACTATCGCACACCCTACTCTAGACTGGGTTTGCTCATTCTATTGATCATATCAACCCATTTGCATAAGGGAGTGAGTATTTCCCATATGACAGCCCCTGCTGCAGGTGCCTGTAGATGTATACCACGTGACACCACTGCCGACAAACCATATGTGTATTGTGATGAGATCTGTCTGATTAGCCGATTATAGTTTAGGCCAGGCAGTAACGGAAAGACAAAGGTCACCGAAATGTCCCATTGAGGTCAGGCTGTATATCTGGGTCCTCTCCTGTCAAACCAAAACACTACTTAATTTCTAAAACCTGGCGAAGGGAAGAGACTACTGAGTATACAATAAATTATACAACCTACAAACATATATTTTGACATCAAAAACACCTATAATACCCCCGACGGTCATCATTATATACTCAAAGTTCAGTTCTTTCTTATTACTACAACAATAATCAGAGCACATCAGACTATCTACAGTAAGATGCATGAGAGTGTATATATATGTGAGTCTATGTACAGTAAGATGCATGAGAGTTTATATATATGTGAGCCAATCTACAGTAAGATGCATGAGAGTGTATATATATGTGAGTCTATGTACAGTAAGATGCATGAGAGTATATATATGTGAGTCTATGTACAGTAAGATGCATGAGAGTGTATATATATGTGAGTCTATGTACAGTAAGATGCATGAGAGTGTATATATATGTGAGTCTATGTACAGTAAGATGCATGAGAGTGTATATATATGTGAGTCTATGTACATATATAACAAAGATGAATCCAGATATTTCTTCGTGCCAAAACTCCTTTATCTACTTCGCAAAAGATCTTGCTTTGATAGAGGAGTTTTGACAAGAAGAAATATCTGGACTCATGCTATTTATTTATTGCTTATACACCTGAAGACATCAATTGTATATAAAACAGGTTCAGCGACTTCAAGCCATAATCGTTTGTTTCACTTGAGCGCACCAGCCAGTCACTTGTGTCCAGTTACCGTCATGTCGCCGAGTTTCACAACACAAACCAACTGTGATGACTGACATACCTAGATGTGCCCATAAACTTATTACATTTACCTGTAAAAAAATACCACATGTTCCCGATACAAGGGAGTTAAGCAAGTCAAGTTTCCACCTTGCATAAGGCGTCACATATTCCTAACGAAAGCATTCATTGTCTGATCGAAAACGGTCAAGAAATCGACATCAGGGAGAAACAACATCGCGACTTCCCCGCAAAGTACAGATATTCTCCCAATGTTTTTTTATGTTTTAATCCAAGTGATCTAATGATTTGATGTAATACACGAGACATGACCCGTCTTATTACAACCCACACTTTGTTAATGGATCACATCGTCTTGACTGGGTGCAAGTGATATCAGAGGGTGTCTCTGATTGGATTAACAACAGAGACATAACTCGCAATACCTCTAGTTTCTGTTTTAGTGTTGGTGTTTTTGTTTAACGCCTCACTCAGCAGGTAATACCTACCGGTGGCACAAGCACCGAGCCAAGTTCGACAAAGGTCGAAACTGGACGTCTAGAATCAGTTACCTCCCTTTGTCTGCTGTTTGGAGCTGCGTCTCTCGATCGGTATTGCCAGTTGTTGCTCGAGTGACCCTGAGTACCCAATCCTTGTTTCTACTGCTTCTGAACCTTCACAAAATCCTCGTATTCAATTTATCGTTCTACATGTTACTAAGCCGAGTACATTGAACAATACCTGGACACCCAACCCCTTACGCTTGACTGCGTGTCGAACCCATGGTATGGTTCGTTGTTCATACCATCAATCACTCGGTTGGCTAGTACTGACTCCATTAGTCACAGACCGCCGCCTAACAGCTGTGATATGACTTTGTGCACCGTTAAACAACAAAACGTGTCATAACTGGGTTTCACTATCAGTTGTTATACCAGCCAACTGTCAGCACCTACACCGACCGTTCTACAGATCAACTAACAATGTGAACCAGCTGACCCTCGGGACGAATGAGGTGCTTGTCAAGCACATCTTGCCAAGCACATCTGTCCCAACGCAGCTTAAATGATAGGAAATGAAGTGTAACAACTGTAATATAATAAACCTGAGTTACCTTCCTCTGTATAACGCCACCTCCTGTTTATACCGCCCTGAGGGAATATCGCCTGACGGTGACAACTTTTCCCAAATTAATGTCCGACAGTTGAGACGGTGAAGATCGTTGACAGCCTCGTCATAAAATCCAACCGCGCCCCCAAACGTGTATAAACTATCTTCGTGGAATATGAGACTTTGTCCATAGGCTCTCGGGGGCATGTTGTCACCTAGATCTAAACAGTTATACACATTTGGGTTGGTTTCCAGAAGATACCAATAGCTCCTGTGTTGAAGTCCGAGACTACACTCGCATACTTTGACAGTATTGCTCATCATCTCACCAAAAGGAAATCCTGTGCCCCCGTACACAAACAACTTCCTCCCTCTCAAGACCATGCATGAACTGGCGCACGTGTCTGGCACTCCAGGGGATGTTAAATTCGTCCATTTCCAGGTGGCGAAGTTGAATTTCCATAACTCCACGAGCACACACGCGGATTCGATGTTTTCTCGCAAGCATCCACGTGGATTGTATCCACCAAATACATAAATATCGGCATCATCGGCCACCATGGAATGGCCGCTGCGACCGATAGGGTGGCATCCTGTCTTAGTTCCATCACACCCGTAACTTAACTCTTTAAACTTCCCCACACGCCTTCCTGACATATTCCCAGTGAGGTGGCAGTTTAGAGTTACCCGCCCTTTGTTGTCATGGATTGCGTCCCTTTGATTACGAATACAATGCATTTTACGTACGCTTTTTTTCAAATATGCATGTCCAATCAAGCCATATAGAAGGAACTATCAAGATCAACACGTTACTGACGACGATGTGTATTAAATATACATCCACCAACTGCACTGATCATTAGAGAACAAAATTTAAAGTGCGTAATGTCAGTTTACAATATCCGTTTGTATGGTGGGTGGTAGGACTTGAATGTTTACCCACACAATCTGTTGAGTCATCTGTAAAGAGGTCAGTAGGCTGTCTACCACGTACTGCGACATTTTTGAAATCTAACGGTTGTGGCAGGAGGGACTTTTTGTGAGCGATATTAACTGTTTGACTCACTCACCAACCCACTGAGATTGTTATACATCTCACGATGGTCTCATGCGACACACGAATCATCTGTTAGGCTGCTCCGTGATTCCTCGCAGCTGTGCGTAGATGCTGTGATCTGATTGTGATGTCAATTTAACATACGCGTGAGCAGACCACAATATCTCGCTTTTGTTCAGGTCAAACCTTACGCTGGTGCTATTGGTATTTAGTGGGCTCAGTGCGTTTAAATATGGCGAAATATCTTGTTGACTACAACCCCCCCCTAGTTGGGCTCAGCATCTCAAGAATCTACCGAAATATAAAGTGGAGGTGAGTCTAGTTTTTCAGTCGTAATCCATTTTACACATCTTTGTGATCTGATTCCGGGTAGACCCCAACTTTGCTTCCAAAACTACGTACTGCTCCGTGTTTACTACAGGATATATGTAGACCGCACTATTGCATGGCTTCGTATCTCCCCTCAGCGACGACATCAACGAGACGGGTACATCTCATTCCGTGATGGAGTTACTATTTATAGCGATGGGGAGAGAAGTAAACCGACCCACTCGTTAGCATGTTTATAAGTTTTCACAAAATACATTTTAGTCGGAATATCTTATGTATTATGATAAATGGCTTGCGTAACTGAGGGTATAAAGTCCACACAAGGGCTCCTTGACTCCACAGTGGAGCGATTCGTTGTCTGCTGATTAAATCTACTTGTTGGTGAATAGTAAGTAATTATTCACAGTAATGAACAGTAAGATTAATTCACAGTAAATTAATCTTTTGGATTCAATCACTGACATGCGCTTTATTTCCGCCTAACCCTTGTAAGGCAACCTAATTCGGAAAGCATCCCTTTTCATAGACTAACGCTTAGACAAACAAACCCGTTTAAATTGAAAAGAAGCCCCAGGGAGACAGAGATTCAGAACCTGAGGAAATCGAGACTTGCTTTATTTAGGGTTTAGCATTGCAGAGAGGGCTAGGCAGTAGGGAAATAGTGTGGTTGGGTCACTGTGAGACAGACTACCCTTTTCATGGTGTACACTTGCTTCAGTCTGCTATCATCACTGGTGGAAACATCACGCCTTACTTTTTCGTCGGAAAAACACAGCGATACGGCAATGTTCGCTAACTAGGCCCATGTCCACAGTCCCACAATGCATCCGTGGAATGTCACATGACTAATCAGCTTCATCTGGATGTTCTGATCTAAACTTATAATGGAAACTGAATGCGTGTTCCAACTGTCCCACGTGGTTTATGATAATCGCAAGTTTAACTGAAATAATATAAAGAAGATGTTAAACCTGACGTAGACCGTCTTCAAACTGTTTATCTTTCTTTCACGTCTTTATGGTAACGTGACCCGTGAAGATCCGGGGTAGAATAGGTCTTCAGCAACCCATGTGCTTGCCATAAAAAGCGACTATCTTGTCGTAAGAGGCGACTAACGGGATCGGATGGTCAGTTTCGCTGACTTGGTTGACACATGTCATCGGTTCCCAATTACGCAGATCGATGCTCATGCTGTTGATCACTGGATTGTCTGGTCCAGACTCGATTATTTACAGACCGCCGCCATATAGCTGGAATACTGCTGAGTGCGGCGTAAAACTAAACTCACTCACTCACTCACTTATGGTAACGTGGGTCTTACTAAACTTACCGGGCAATGCAACAGCACGTCAGTTCGCCCTAAACGAGGATTATCAATTCAGGTCACTGACAACAGAGTTTCTGTTGGTTTTCTGCATGAGATAAATTGTCGATAAACCCGCCACATCTAACACAGTCCGATCAATACACTGTTCATGTTTTTAAATTGGCTTATTTAAAACGATATTAATCAAACACATGTGACAGAATGGTGTATGCTTATATAGCCTCACCAAAAAGAAACGCATATAGGAATTTCAACTGTATATTTATGTTTATATTGAATCATCTTGTATGCATTATGAGTCAAAGAAATATAGCGAAATTGCACACTGGGAATGCAGACTTATCCGTCGTTGGCACCAACTCGAGGAAAGTCAGTTTGAATGTCACATGGAGACGTGTGGTGGCGCTGAAGTCAATACCTCGTGTGACCACCGTGGGCATCCAGAACTGCACGGCATCGCCTCGGCATCGAACGAATAAGTCTCGGAATCTCGTGTTGCCCAATCGCAGCCCACTCTGCCTGTAGTGCCTGTGCGAGTTGCTGAAGTGTCTGGAGCCGAGGGTTACGGCGACGCACTGGTCTGTCCAGGGCATCCCACAGATGTTCGATCGGGTTTAAGTCCTGTGATCTTGAGGGCCAGGGGAGCACATTGATGTTGTGGTTCTGGAGGAAGTCTCTAGTGTGACGTGCTGTGTGGGGCCTGGCATTGTCCTGTTGAAACAACTCCCTCTGGCGATCAATGATTGGAAGGAGGTGTAGGCGTAGGATTTCGTCACAGTACCGTTGAGCTGTCAGGTTGCCCTGGATCATCACCAAATCACTTCTCTTACGACAGGTGATCGCTCCCCACATCATAACACTTCCCCGGCCGAATCTGTCCACCTGGGGAACGCAAGCGTCGGCGAAACGTTCACGTCCACGTCTGTACACCCGCATTCTTCCATCGCGTCGTTCCAATAGAAATCGTGATTCATCACTGAACCAGATTCTACGCCAATTCGGTTGGTTCCAGGCCTGAACGTTGGTGCACCATTTAACTCGATGTGGACGATGTTGTTGAAGCACAGGGCCAAATTAAGGTCTTCTGGCACGTAAACCAGCCTCTCCCAACCTGTTCCTGACGGTCTGTGTAGAAAGCCTCCCCAATTCGGGTATTTGTCGAGCAGTACTGGTCGCCGTAGCTGTTCGATGATATCTCTCCCAGAGACGTGAAATCGTGCTTTGGTGAACATTCATGCGTCGGGCAACTGCACGCTGAGACTGGCCAGCTTCAAGCAAACCAATGGCGATATGACGGTTGGCTTCACTTAGACGTGGCACTTTGCGTTCGTCAACAATATTCCAAATACAGTGAATAATCGACATACAGCGATCAACCTTTTATACCCATCATTGAGACTATCTGATCCCCAACTTTCACGTGCATTGCATGTGAATTGTGTATTCTGTGACACTACACGCCGAAATTGAAATTCATGCTGTTAAATACGGGTATTTTATGGATGGTGCGTTTTGTTGTGATGTTTCACAACATAAACACCATAGGACTCATAAACAGAGCAAAACCTTTTGTAAAATGAATCACGTTTTAATTCATTGTTACGTGAAATTGCTATTTTCATGATGCATTTCTTTTTGGGGAGAGTATATATAACGTAATACTTTCATTGTATAAAATGGCTTGCGATTGATGACATAACATATTTTCTTCTGTGACGTCAACTGAGGTTACTGAATTTGTTTGGATGAGACACTGCATTGTCGTGATATTTGGTTCACGAGGAACCAGACTATTCCGATACAAAGATCTAAATTGTAATCGGTTACGTTTGGTAGCATCATAAATATCAGAAACGTTGTAATCGCACAACATGAGAAAGGACGTAATTATAGCTAAACGGATGGCCCTATCTAATATGCAAATTAGTTGTGATCCATATTCTCCAGTTTTAACTATTTTTACACAGAGTACTGACCATATCAAATATTGATGGACTATATTATCAAAAAGAATGGCAGTGAGACTTCAAACGTTTGTGACAAACGCGCACCTGTCCAGTCATTACACATTATTGTTCTGTACATAAACCGACATGACCCAGACAATTCCTTTATGATATTTGTGCACATATATTTAAATAAACATAAATCACTTTCTTAAATCAAACGTTCGAGGTTTTTCGTGATTTTAAAGTAATGATCTCCAATGATTTTAAATGTCATAAAAACACAATGGAAAGTGTTTGTTTTTCTTTTACACCGAAAGAAAACCTGACACTACATATATCAACAACAATATACTTTGATGGGCAGTAGGATACGGCCATGTGCGTGCATGCACGTCGCACGATCATGTCTCAGACTTGCTCCACTGGGGAACCACAGGGACAGATGGCTGGTGTCTCTCTACATTTGTGATGAGAATGAAATCACAAATATACTGGACAAAATAAGTTAGGGATATTGGTATTTTTATGATTGGTATTTTATCAGTGTGACAATGAATAAATAGATCATTATTCATAGTTTCAAAATTTACACATATCCCCAACTATTTTTGTCCCGTATATTATGTCAAGTAACTGTTAATGCACGTTTGATTTCAGCTTGCTATGGAGAACACCCCCATCCACGAATGGAATTTCCCCGGGATACCCGATGGCTTCAGTCTTCACATCAAGCGACATGACATGACGGGCAGTTCATTGTCAGGCAACAAGGTAGGACAGGGTCAGGAAACTAAACAACCACCTTCAAGACGGTAGAGTTGGTGCTTATATCCTAGTGACAAATGTGTAAGAAATATGACCCTCTTATTGTTTTACAGCTGTGCATCATAGCATCATAAACAATGTAGTCAAAGCGGTAAGTGAAAGACACATCTTATATACAGTAATAGGATAGGCCAACCAAAGCCCTAGTGCATGGACCCGTGAAAATCCGGTTAGAAATGGTGTTCAGGAACCAATGCTTGTCGTTAGAGGCGACTAACGGGAGCGGGTGGTCAGGTTCACTCACTTGATTCACACATATGATCGTTTCCCAACTGTGTAGATGGAGCGTTTGCTGTTGATCACTGGATTGTCCGGTCCAGACTCGATTATTTACAGGCTGCCGCCATATAGCTGGAATATTACTGAGTGTGTCTGGTTGTTGTTTAACGCTGCACTCATGCACCATCCGGTTTCAAAATGGATACAAAAAAATGTCTCAGCTACTATATATGTGGAAGGAATTGGATTACAGCTTGCCGAAGGTAATATTTTTGTCATTTTATCAGGGAATGAACAAATAATAAAGAGATGAGATGCTTTTGGAAGTAAATATTTGCGTATATGTAATTATACTGTAACAAGCAATTATATGTATACAAGTTACATAAAATAGTCATGTTCAATAGACTGGGGTTTTAAATAATATTTTCCTAGTTCTCAGTTGATTTTTATCATTGTTTTGGTTACAGAAACTGCTGTTCTATTTTGCCACCAAGATCAGCTGAACTTCGTTTCCGCCATGTTTGTTGTGAGGGAACGCGAAACCGAAACTGCGAAACCTGCCTCGGAGATGGTTTCGAAGTTTCAGAACCCAGTTTTAGGTTTCGACATAATCGAGTGCATGGTTTTACAGAAACCAAAACCGGTTTAGCATAATCGAATAGGCCCTTATGTTATTCATTTGTATAGCGTTCGTTTCCAATTAGACTGCCCAGAAGCACTGAATTATTACCCCGGATAACGCAAGCTGCCTGTCAGGCGCCAGAAGGTTAATAGTCACATGATTTATCCCACCGGGTACCCATTTTCTGCTGGGTGAACAGAGGCACTTTCGAACAAACTCACTTGCCTAAGGCGAGACAACATGCATCACGTCTGCTTCGTTGCTGGGCAGGACTGAAGGCCTAGAATCACTCAGGAGTCAAGCTGTCAAACACGGTCACCCATCAACATCTCTCCGCGCCCAACATATTGCTTAACTGCGCCTGATATGTGACCTGAGCTCTATGCACAGGACCATGTATCACCAGAGTACGATGGCAATCAGGGTGGAAACTATATCTTCATTTATTCATCGTTTTTCACTGTCCAAAGTTTGCCAATAACATAAAAAAACCCTCATCTATGGCTACAAATTTCATTCCTGACTTTCCACTCGTAGTAATCAGACAAGCCGTAATATATCTGGAATATTATTGTTCTGGGGTTAACATAGTTTACTCACTCACTTTAGTATCACCAGGGAGACTATGTTGCAGAGTAGCCCTGGTATCACGCACGTGTTTGCAGTGACCTCCAATGAAGGTTCTTCCGTTTATTCCTCGCGTTTTTGTCTCTACTTGACCTTTGACCCTTCCTCAACTTCTTGACGTCACACACAAAGAATCACTCAGAGCACAGACAATAGCACCGAATCCATACTTTGGTTTTACAGTATATTACCTTTCTATTTAAACAAAATCGTTCTTTTCACAGATGAAATACATGTGACCAACCCATTTCTAGAAACAGAAAGAAGCAAGCTTGTGCTCAGTTTGTTCAACACCATTCGCGGGATTTTCTCAACCGTTACAGTTGCTACTCATGATAGCAAGTCACGTGCCACGTGATGAGGGTTTCATTTTACACATAATACATTTAGACGCTCGGTCATCTGGTTATTGTATGTTGGATCTCTAATTGTCAACTGAATTTTAACAACAGAAATTAATTCGCTATATCTGATGGCAGAGACGCCATATTATGTACGTACGTGCTTTGGGAATAAAAGTCTATTGAAACGTGTTTTGATTGTGGTATACAATGTTTATATGCTCCCCAACGAACATAGGATTTCCAATAATCCCCAAACACCAGATCTGTACATTTTTGTATGTCGGTGTATGTATTTCCCTTAGAATGGTCGGCTCGAATATTATTGGTGAGCGTCAAAGGTATCGTGAAATTGTAAAATCGCATTTATCCTTGTGATTTTGTTTCAGGTCGGGAAAATAGAATTCCTCCTTGCAGATGCCATTTCGAAGGGATGCAAGCACGTGATCACGTGCGGTGGGGTACCGTCCAATCATTGTCGAGCTTTAGCCTTGGCGTGCAGACAAGTTGGACTTATTCCTCATTTGTTTTTAACAATGGTGAGCAAGGATATATTCGAGACCTTTGTTCCACCATGAAATTATGGTCGATATTAAATAAGCCCGAGCACCCAAGGGCAGATAACTCTCATCACTCGCTGCCAACGATAACCGATAACCGCTCAAACCAGGCCATCGTATAAGCTCGACATTCTATTGGCCCTTCAATCAGTTCCTACCATGACAGTTGCTGCTACAATGTACAACAGTCTCTACCACCACATGGACTGCATCACCCTCTGCTTCCGTGGCCTGGTCCAGACTCCATTATCTACAGACCGCCACCATACAGCGGCAATATTGCTGAATGCGGCGTAAAACTTAACTCACCCACTCCCTCTCCTTCCGTGTATGCAATTTGATTTTGACTTGGCTGATTTTGTGTCACGTACCCGGATGTTGGACAGCGTTGTTTTCACTGACTGGTTTTACTGGGCGACCTTCATGTAGTTTTAACTAAATATCAACGCCTGCAACTGTTAGCAACGTATACTCACTCACTCTGAGGTGCTTTGTAACGTCTGACATGGTTGGTTTACAGACATCGGAGGAAATGGGTTGTCGTGGCAACGTACTGCTAGACCGTTTGTCTGGAGCTGACATCTACTTGATGCCGCCGGACTCTGACGATGAGAGGGACGTCCATCCGAAAATGGAATCATTGGCTGAGAGAATTATGTTTGTTGTATTTTCAATAACCCTCATTTATATTGGAACGCTAAAATATCCAACTCTCCAGTGGACACTAGCGATTGTGTCGCGCCATATCTCTTACCCTCCAGGATAACTTAAGTTGTTTAATGGCCCTGTGTTGGGTTACGTCCCTTGAGTTTGCCAGGAACCTATTTCCTGGTATTCGAAACAGGAAACAATGAATTCTGTCAGCCAAGGGACGCAACCGAGAATTCGACTGCCTTATATAACTCAACAACAGCGTTAAAACAACAAATGCTTAGTCAGGTCAGATCACTGTAGTGCCCTTCTCTCAAGCTGAATATGTCTGCAGTTGATCCATTTACCAGCCTATTGCAATATGTACTGGCTACAGACAAAAAGTCAACTGAACACATCTATGGCTTCTCAAAATGACAACAGGTTTTGTAATTCTTGTAAACAGCGATGAAAAAAGAGTATTTGTTCCTGTCCCACAGGATCGAGAAAGGGGAGAAGTCATGTCTGGTTCCAAAGGGTGGTTCCAATCTAATAGGGTTCTTTGGTTCCATGGCCATATATGACGAGCTGTCCAAACAGGTGAGACGTTTGTATTGTTAAATCAGTCTTGCATTACCAAGCATGGGCTAGGCCGTGTTCGTTCTCGTTTTTTTCTCCAAATCCTACTAGTAACACCTTTATATCTGTTCACGTTGACACTTGAGATGTGTTCTGTGTACATCTATCTATCCGATGCCTGTAAGATGCCAAGTTTGTTTGTATGAACCGTGGATGTCTGTATTATCCGGTCCAGGGCGCCCTCGACAGGTTCGACGACGTCGTGGTGGCTTCTGGCAGCTCGGGGTCGGCGACCGGTATCTGCGTGGCCAACTACCTGGCAGGATCCCCTCTAAGGTAACTGTATTAAAGCTATAAAGTGTTTTGTGATATCCCCATGTGTCACCAGCATGTGGGAAGAGAGTGCCGTAGGCACGGTCCGCTCTTACAGACCCACATATAACCACTCCAGACCTCACTTTCTGCTCTTACAGACACAAATATAACCACTCCAGACCACACTTTCTGCTCTTACAGACACACATATAACCACTCCAGACCACACGCTCTTACAGACACACATATAACCACTCCAGACCACACTTTCTGCTCTTACAGACACACATATAACCACACCAGACCACACGCTCTTACAGACACACATATAACCACTCCAGACCACACTTTCTGCTCTTACAGACACACATATAACCACTCCAGACCACACGCTCTTACAGACAAACATATAACCACTCCAGACCACACGCTCTTACAGACACACATATAACCACTCCAGACCACACGCTCTTACAGACACACATATAACCACTCCAGACCACACGCTCTTACAGACACACATATAAACCACTCCAGACCACACGCTCTTACAGACACACATATAACCACTCAAGACCACACTTTCTGCTCTTACAGACACACATATAACCACTCCAGACCACACGCTCTTACAGACACACATATAACAACTCCAGACCACACTTTCTGCTCTTACAGACACACATATAACCACTCCACTCCAGACCACACGCTCTTAGAGACACACATATAACCACTCCAGACCACACGCTCTTACAGACACACATATAACCACTCCAGACCACACGCTCTTACAGACACACATATAACCACTCCAGACCACACGCTCTTACAGACACACATATAACCACTCCAGACCACACGCTCTTACAGACACACATATAACCACTCCAGACCACACTTTCTGCTCTTACAGACACACATATAACCACTCCAGACCACACTTTCTGCTCTAACAGACACACATATAACCACTCCAGACCACACGCTCTTACAGACACACATATAACCACTCCAGACCACACGCTCTTACAGACACACATATAACCACTCCAGACCACACGCTCTTACAGACACACATATAACCACTCCAGACCACACGCTCTTACAGACACACATATAACCACTCCAGACCACACGCTCTTACAGACACACATATAACCACTCCAGACCACACTTTCTGCTCTTACAGACACACATATAACCACTCCAGGCCACACGCTCTTACAGACACACATATAACCACTCCAGACCACACTTTCTGCTCTTACAGACACACATATAACCACTCCAGACCACACGCTCTTACAGACACACATATAACCACTCCAGACCACACGCTCTTACAGACACACATATAACCACTCCAGACCACACGCTCTTACAGACACACATATAACCACTCCAGACCACACGCTCTTACAGACACACATATAACCACTCCAGACCACACTTTCTGCTCTTACAGACACAAATATAACCACTCCAGACCACACTTTCTGCTCTTACAGACACAAATATAACCACTCCAGACCACACTTTCTGCTCTTACAGACACAAATATAACCACTCCAGACCACTTTCTGCTCTTACAGACACACATATAACCACTCCAGACCACACTTTCTGCTCTTACAGACACACATATAACCACTCCAGACCACACGCTCTTACAGACACACATATAACCACTCCAGACCACACGCTCTTACAGACACACATATAACCACTCAGGACCACACTTTCTGCTCTTACAGACACACATATAACCACTCCAGACCACACGCTCTTACAGACACACATATAACCACTCCAGACCACACTTTATGCTCTTACAGACACACATATAACCACTCCAGACCACACTTTATGCTCTTACAGACACACATATAACCACTCCAGACCACACGCTCTTACAGACACACATATAACCACTCAAGACCACACGCTCTTACAGACACACATATAACCACTCCAGACCACACTTTCTGCTCTTACAGACACACATATAACCACTCCAGGCCACACGCTCTTACAGACACACATATAACCACTCCAGACCACACTTTCTGCTCTTACAGACACACATATAACCACTCCAGACCACACGCTCTTACAGACACACATATAACCACTCCAGACCACACGCTCTTACAGACACACATATAACCACTCCAGACCACACGCTCTTACAGACACACATATAACCACTCCAGACCACACGCTCTTACAGACACAAATATAACCACTCCAGACCACACTTTCTGCTCTTACAGACACAAATATAACCACTCCAGACCACACTTTCTGCTCTTACAGACACAAATATAACCACTCCAGACCACACTTTCTGCTCTTACAGACACACATATAACCACTCCAGACCACACGCTCTTACAGACACACATATAACCACTCCAGACCACACGCTCCTACAGACACACATATAACCACTCAGGACCACACTTTCTGCCCTTACAGACACACATATAACCACTCCAGACCACACGCTCTTACAGACACACATATAACCACTCCAGACCACACTTTATGCTCTTACAGACACACATATAACCACTCCAGACCACACTTTATGCTCTTACAGACACACATATAACCACTCCAGACCACACTTTCTGCTCTTACAGACACACATATAACCACTCCAGACCACACTTTATGCTCTTACAGACACACATATAACCACTCCAGACCACACGCTCTTACAGACACACATATAACCACTCCAGACCACACTTTCTGCTCTTACAGACACACATATAACCACTCCAGACCACACTTTCTGCAGAGTTCATGGCGTCCTGGTGCGACATGACCCCGAGTTTGCACACCACCACGTGAACAGCACGCTACGGCAGCTGGGTGTAGAGGACGTCAGGTCGGAGGACATCTTCAGCATCATCGACAATTACCAGGGGGAGGGCTACTCCATCTCCAAACAGGAGGAACTAGGTAGGTGTGTTGCGGGAACTCATTACTGGCACCAAGTCTTCGTAGTGGACGCTTGTGTGTGTGCGTGCGCGCGTGTGTTATTGAGCCTTCAATGGAATGCTGGTTCAGTAATTCATGCGACATTTTGGCTGATATTAGTATAAATCTCGCTCCAAGAACATCTGTCTCATGATCAATCAGTGCGACAGGTCGGGGTTGATTAATGTGCTGGCTCTTCAGGATATAATATAATGGTGTACTTTTGCACATATATATTTATCTGATAGTCCTGTTATTGAAGTTTTTGTCCCCTATGAGAGCTATCCGATTGGCATAATTTAGTACAAGCATGATAAATATGCGGACCTCGCCTTTGGAATATCTCGCTTGCATCCCAAGCAAACTGTCGTCAGGCTCCCCACTGTTCTCGGGGCTCTTAGTTTGGTGCCTCCTGGTTCACATCAGGAGTGTACCCGGACTCCACCGCTTGTACAGCTCTCTTTGTAAGGGCAGAATCTTTATTTTCTGTGTATCTCATCGCTTGACAACCCTTCTAATTTTATTGCCGATAAATGGGAATAAATGGGAATCAAGAACATTATTCAGATAATTTTGTCATTCATTTATGAAACACATAAAGAAATGATGCCCTAATGCAGAAGGCTGCAGTGTTGGGGAATCTCCATATTCTCCAGAACGACGTTGGTGGGTTCGACTGGACATGGCGTCCTGGGAGGAGTCCCAGTTGCTGGCTGGACGGCGGGTTGCGGGAGCCAGGGTACCTGAGCGGATATCATGCCTAACCAGCTTGGACTGCCAGGACCACCCACCTCTCTGTACTCTCGTAAAACATAATAATAATGGACATGTATGATACGCCTGTGTCCACGCACTTGTACATGCTTAAAGAGCTGCAATAAAATGAGAGAATATAAACACTGTATCAAATACGAAAAGAGGTTTTTTTTCTTTGAGTGGCATTTAGAAGTTGGTGTGATGAACAACGAGGAGAGTTCTATGCATATACAACCACTTTAATATTATTATGAGAGACGTTTCGCTGATAATAATATTACAGAAGTTGTATATCCTTAGAACTCTTCTCGTTGTTCATAAATAGAGGTGTTCACAAACAGAGACGTTAAACGGAATAATTGGAACGAATCTCAGTCTTTTTAACTCGGCATTTGGGCGAATATTGAGATAAGTGCTGGGTAATCGAGGTAATAAATAATGTTTGACAACTAGCATTACTAAAGTTCGAATATACATCTTATGACCTAGAAAGTGGAGTTAAAAATTCATATCCTAAAAGCAATCAATTTGTATCCCCCTCAACGCTTTTTGCGGGGGTATTATTTTGGACTCCGGCCATCAGTCCGCGCGTCCGTCCGTGCAAATTTGTCTTTTCCGGAGCAGAACATAAGACTGTTAAATATGTTTTCACCAAACTTGGCACATAGATAGTTGTGATGGTGAACTGGTCCCTTTTGGTAGTTTGGAAATTCTGAATAAGATATTTTTTGCGTTTCCATGGCCAGAAGTTTGACTTCGACTGAAATTTGTGGTAATGCTCCTTTCTGGTGCAGAACTTGAAAACCATTCAATGTTTCTTCACAAAAATTGGCACATATATACTATGGTGGTGTACCGGTGCCTTTTGGTAGTTTTTGGATGTCTGAATTTTTTCATGGCAACAAGCTTGGTGAAATCTGAAATTGGTGTTAGTGCTCTTTTAACCTTTCAGTATTCTCCTTCCACTTTGGGGGCATTCAAGAACCTAATGACATAAATCAACAGTACCACTCTATTTCCACTGTCAACAATACTGAGGTACATGAAACCGTGGAAGCACTCAGACAGTCTGTTGTTGACACAAGCATGCTAGTACATGAATGATTTACATATATATGTCTTCGTTAGATCAATGTAGCATTTGACATAGTCATAACTAATCAGCATCTTCATGAAGAGAATTTTACCATTTGAGGGGATATTGATGACTTTGTCTTCTTGTTACGTTTGAGACCGAGAATTATATACATTTCACAAACTGCGTAATTTGTAATATTTGACGGCCTTCATGGTTTAGATAATTATTAATGTATTCGAGCTAATTATATACAACAAGAATCGAGTCATTGTTATTATTGGTCGACCTTGATAGTAACTAGTGATAGCCGACTAGAAGCGATAAAGTTTGTTTTTTTTACTCTTTTAACTATTACATATGAAAGATTTGTGGTCAGTCATATGCGGAACACCAAATTCATTCTTTAAAAACTTGTGGTTAAATAGTACCTAGCGATTAAAAGTTGCCGAAAAGTCGCCTGCTTCACTCTCACCCGCCAACGAAACCACAGACAGGTTACGTAACTCAGTCGCCAGAGCACTGCAGTGACGTCATATGAGGTTTATACAAACCTGTAAACAAGATAATTTACCCCCTGAAATGTAGATGAATACTGCATCGGCCCTCATATCTATTCCTCATATGACGTCACAGAGACGCCCCGCTCTGATTGGTTGAAATTTCGTTCGCGGGTGAGAATTGTGCATTGTTGTCAAAAAGGTCGATTTAAGTTGATTAAAGATCGAAGTGAGTAGTTTTAATGGCGGGGTTTCATTTATAGCGATGCCAGTTTGTGATTTATGTATTTGTACCCCCCTAGAGTATATGTGTTCTATCGACATGGATATTCGAGGCAACATATATTTGACGATGATTTCTTTACAGGTTGAATTGAGTTAGTCATTTTTATTCGCTGTTTTTGAAACGTCAGATTTCATCCTGGAGGTGAGCAGTACGACGGGGGTGTTGCTCGACCCAACCTACACGGCCAAGGCAGCCTGGGGGGTGCTGCAGGAGATGAAACACAACCCCGGTCGCTTCCAGGGACGGAGAGTCCTCTTTATACATACAGGTAAGCTGTGGTTATAGCGCGTGGGTGGGAGGAAGGGTATAAGATTAGGGGGAGAGTCCTCTTTCTACATACAGGTAAGCTGTGGTTATAGCGCGTGGGTAGGAGGAAGGATATACGATTAGGAGGAGAGTCCTCTTTATACATACAGGTAAGCTGCGGTTATAGGGCGAGGGTGGGAGAAAGGATATAAGATTAGGAGGAGAGGATGAAAGCTGTGATGGGAAGAAACGGTCAAAGAGAGTGAGTTAAATTTAACGCCGCTTCTGTTATATCACAGAGTGTGAGCAGGGACTCGAACTCAAAACAACAGGTTTGTGGCACGCTCAAGGGATGTAACTCTGAACGGTAAATTTGATTGTGCATCTTCATGAAAATTGTACTCTAAAGTGTATCGCACATGTTTATATGTTGTCAGGTTGCGTTTGTCGACCCGTCACTTGTGGGTTTTCGACTAAATGAGTGAGTGAGTAACTTTAGTTTTACGCCGCACTCAGAAATATTCCAGCTATATGGCGGCGGTCTGTAAATAATCGAGTCTGGACCAGACAATCTAGTGATCAACAACATGAGCAACGATCTGCGCAATTGGGAATCGATGACATGTGTCGATCAAGTCAGCGAGCCTGACCACCCGATCTCGTTAGTCGCCTCTTCGACTAAATAAGAGTGAGTGAGTATAGTTTTCGCTGCTTTTAGTAATATTCCACCACTATCACGGAGGGGGGCAGAAATGGGCTTCAGACACTGTACCCATGTGAATTATCTGATGCAGGATAGAAACATTATGAAACAGAGAGAATATGGATAATTGTTCGAGCTTGTGATACAACATTTCTTTAAGTGGTATTTAGAAGGTGGAATGATGAAGAGGAACAATTTACATGCGAGGTTTCTGTGTAGATGCTATCACCGTTCACCAATGCCAGTGATTCCACGTTGTTGAGCGATCCGAAACATTTAGATAATTGAAACCGTTCACTTAAACCTCTTAAAATGGTCAATGGCGCTACTTTTTGTGTTGTCGTCGTATTATCACCACCCTCCTCATCACTTTCTGTGTTGTTGTCGTCGTATTTATCACCACCCTCCTCATCACATTCTGTGTTGTCGTCGTATTATCACCACCCTCCTCATCACATTCTGTGTTGTTGTCGTATTATCACCACCCTCCTCATCACATTCTGTGTTGTCGTATTATCACCACCCTTCTCATCGCATTCTGTGTTGTTGTCGTATTTATCACCACCCTCCTCATCGCATTCTGTGTTGTCGTCGTATTTATCACCACCCTCATCACATTCTGTGTTGTTGTCGTATTATCACCACCCTCCTCATCACATTCTGTGTTGTCGTCGTATTATCACCACCCTCCTCATCACATTCTGTGTTGTCGTCGTATTATCACCACCCTCCTCATCACATTCTGTGTTGTCGTCGTATTATCACCACCCTCCTCATCACATTCTGTGTTGTCGTCGTATTTATCACCACCCTCCTCATCACATTCTATGTTGTTGTCGTATTATCACCACCCTCCTCATCACATTCTGTGTTGTCGTATTATCACCACCCTTCTCATCGCATTCTGTGTTGTTGTCGTATTATCACCACCCTCCTCATCACATTCTATGTTGTTCTCGTATTATCCATACCCTCCTCATCACATTCTGTGTTGTTGTCGTATTATCACCACCCTCCTCATCACATTCTGTGTTGTCGTATTATCACCACCCTTCTCATCGCATTCTGTGTTGTCGTCGTATTTATCACCACCCTCCTCATCGCATTCTGTGTTGTCGTCGTATTTATCACCACCACCCTCATCACATTCTGTGTTGTTGTCGTATTATCACCACCCTCCTCATCACATTCTGTGTTGTCGTCGTATTATCACCACCCTCCTCATCACATTCTGTGTTGTCGTCGTATTATCACCACCCTCCTCATCACATTCTGTGTTGTCGTCGTATTATCACAACCCTCCTCATCACATTCTGTGTTGTCGTCGTATTATCACCACCCTCCTCATCACATTCTGTGTTGTCGTCGTATTTATCACCACCCTCCTCATCACATTCTATGTTGTTGTCGTATTATCACCACCTCCCTCATCACATTCTGTGTTGTCGTATTATCACCACCACTCATCGCATTCTGTGTTGTTGTCGTATTATCACCACCTCCTCATCACATTCTGTGTTGTTGTCGTATTATCCATACCCTCCTCATCACATTCTGTGTTGTTGTCGTATTATCACCACCCTCCCTCATCACATTCTATGTTGTCGTCGTATTATCACCACCTCCTCATCACATTCTCCTGTGTTGTCGTCGTATTATCACAACCTCTCCATCACATTCTATGTTGTTGTCGTATTATCACCACCCTCCTCATCACATTCTATGTTGTCGTCGTATTATCACCACCTTCCTCATCATTTCTGTGTTGTCGTCGTATTATCACAACCCTCTCATCACATTCTATGTTGTTGTCGTATTATCCATACCCTCCTCATCACATTCTGTGTTGTCGTCGTATTATCACCACCCTCCTCATCACATTCTGTGTTGTTGTCGTATTATCACCACCCTTCTCATCACATTCTATGTTGTCGTCGTATTATCACCACCCTCCTCATCACATTCTGTGTTGTCGTCGTATTATCACCAACCTCTCCATCACATTCAATGTTGTTGTCGTCGTATTATCACCACCCTCCTCATCACATTCTGTGTTGTTGTCGTATTATCACCACCCTTCTCATCACTTTCTGTGTTGTTGTTATCGTATTATCACCACCCTCCTCATCACATTCTATGTTGTCGTCGTATTATCACCACCCTCCTCATCACATTCTGTGTTGTCGTCGTATTATCACCAACCTCTCCATCACATTCTATGTTGTTCTCGTATTATCACAACCCTCTCCATCACATTCTGTGTTGTCGTCGTATTATCACCAACCTCTCCATCACATTCTATGTTGTTGTCGTATTATCACCACCTCCTCATCACATTCTGTGTTGTTGTTATCACCACCCTTCTCATCACTTTCTGTGTTGTCGTCGTATTATCACCACCCTCCTCATCACATTCTATGTTGTTGTCGTATTATCACCACCCTCCTCATCACATTCTGTGTTGTCGTATTATCACCACCCTCCTCATCACATTCTGTGTTGTCGTCGTATTATCACCACCCTTCTCATCACATTCTGTGTTGTCGTCGTATTTATCACCACCTCCTCATCACATCACTATGTTGTTGTCGTATTATCACCACCCTCCTCATCACATTCTGTGTTGTTGTCGTATTTATCACCACCCTCCTCATCACATTCTGTGTTGTTGTCGTATTATCACCACCCTCCTCATCACATTCTGTGTTGTCGTCGTATCCTCATCATATCACCACCCTCCTCATCACATTCTGTGTTGTCGTCGTATTATCACCACCCTCCTCATCACATTCTGTGTTGTCGTCGTATTATCACCACCCTCCTCATCACATTCTGTGTTGTCGTCGTATTTATCACCACCCTCCTCATCACATTCTGTGTTGTCGTCGTATTATCACCACCCTCCTCATCACATTCTGTGTTGTTGTCGTATTATCACCACCTCCTCATCACATTCTGTGTTGTCGTCGTATTATCACCACCCTCCTCATCACATTCTGTGTTGTTGTCGTATTATCACCACCCTCCTCATCACATTCTGTGTTGTTGTCGTATTATCACCACCTCTCCATCACATTCTGTGTTGTTGTCGTATTATCACCACCCTCCCTCATCACATTCTGTGTTGTCGTCGTATTATCACCACCCTTCTCATCACATTCTGTGTTGTCGTCGTATTATCACCACCCTTCTCATCACATTCTGTGTTGTCGTCGTATTATCACCACCCTCCCTCATCACATTCTGTGTTGTTGTCGTATTATCACCACCCTCCTCATCACATTCTATGTTGTTGTCGTATTATCACCACCCTCTCCATCACATTCTGTGTTGTCGTCGTATTATCACCAACCTCTCCCATCACATTCTATGTTGTTGTCATTCACAACCCTCTCCATCACATTCTGTGTCGTATTATCACCACCCTCCTCATCACATTCTGTTGTTGTCGTATTATCACCACCCTTCATCACATTCTGTGTTGTTGTCGTATTTATCACCACCCTCCTCATCGCATTCTGTGTTGTCGTCGTATTTATCACCACCCCCTCATCACATTCTGTGTTGTTGTCGTATTATCACCACCTCTCATCACATTCTGTGTTGTTGTCGTATTATCCCTCATCACATTCTGTGTTGTCGTCGTATTATCACCACCCTCCTCATCACATTCTGTGTTGTCGTCGTATTATCACCACCCTCCTCATCACATTCTGTGTTGTCGTCGTATTATCACAACCCTCCTCATCACATTCTGTGTTGTCGTCGTATTATCACCACCCTCCTCATCACATTCTGTGTTGTCGTCGTATTTATCACCACCCTCCTCATCACATTCTATGTTGTTGTCGTATTATCACCACCCTCCTCATCACATTCTGTGTTGTCGTATTATCACCACCCTTCTCATCGCATTCTGTGTTGTTGTCGTATTATCACCACCCTCCTCATCACATTCTATGTTGTTGTCGTATTATCCATACCCTCCTCATCACATTCTGTGTTGTTGTCGTATTATCACCACCCTCCTCATCACATTCTGTGTTGTCGTATTATCACCACCCTTCTCATCGCATTCTGTGTTGTTGTCGTATTTATCACCACCCTCCTCATCGCATTCTGTGTTGTCGTCGTATTTATCACCACCCTCATCACATTCTGTGTTGTTGTCGTATTATCACCACCCTCCTCATCACATTCTGTGTTGTCGTCGTATTATCACCACCCTCCTCATCACATTCTGTGTTGTCGTCGTATTATCACCACCCTCCTCATCACATTCTGTGTTGTCGTCGTATTATCACAACCCTCCTCATCACATTCTGTGTTGTCGTCGTATTATCACCAATTCTCCTCATCACATTCTGTGTTGTCGTCGTATTTATCACCACCCTCCTCATCACATTCTATGTTGTTGTCGTATTATCACCACCCTCCTCATCACATTCTGTGTGGTCGTATTATCACCACCCTTCTCATCGCATTCTGTGTTGTTGTCGTATTATCACCACCCTCCTCATCACATTCTATGTTGTTGTCGTATTATCCATACCCTCCTCATCACATTCTGTGTTGTTGTCGTATTATCACCACCCTCCTCATCACATTCTATGTTGTCGTCGTATTATCACCACCCTCCTCATCACATTCTGTGTTGTCGTCGTATTATCACAACCCTCTCCATCACATTCTATGTTGTTGTCGTATTATCACCACCCTCCTCATCACATTCTATGTTGTCGTCGTATTATCACCACCCTCCTCATCACATTCTGTGTTGTCGTCGTATTATCACAACCCTCTCCATCACATTCTATGTTGTTGTCGTATTATCCATACCCTCCTCATCACATTCTGTGTTGTCGTCGTATTATCACCACCCTCCTCATCACATTCTGTGTTGTTGTCGTATTATCACCACCCTTCTCATCACATTCTATGTTGTCGTCGTATTATCACCACCCTCCTCATCACATTCTGTGTTGTCGTCGTATTATCACCAACCTCTCCATCACATTCAATGTTGTTGTCGTCGTATTATCACCACCCTCCTCATCACATTCTGTGTTGTTGTCGTATTATCACCACCCTTCTCATCACTTTCTGTGTTGTTGTTATCGTATTATCACCACCCTCCTCATCACATTCTATGTTGTCGTCGTATTATCACCACCCTCCTCATCACATTCTGTGTTGTCGTCGTATTATCACCAACCTCTCCATCACATTCTATGTTGTTGTCGTATTATCACAACCCTCTCCATCACATTCTGTGTTGTCGTCGTATTATCACCAACCTCTCCATCACATTCTATGTTGTTGTCGTATTATCACCACCCTCCTCATCACATTCTGTGTTGTTGTCGTATTATCACCACCCTTCTCATCACTTTCTGTGTTGTCGTCGTATTATCACCACCCTCCTCATCACATTCTATGTTGTTGTCGTATTATCACCACCCTCCTCATCACATTCTGTGTTGTCGTATTATCACCACCCTCCTCATCACATTCTGTGTTGTCGTCGTATTATCACCACCCTTCTCATCACATTCTGTGTTGTCGTCGTATTTATCACCACCCTCCTCATCACATTCTATGTTGTTGTCGTATTATCACCACCCTCCTCATCACATTCTGTGTTGTTGTCGTATTTATCACCACCCTCCTCATCACATTCTGTGTTGTTGTCGTATTATCACCACCCTCCTCATCACATTCTGTGTTGTCGTCGTATTATCACCACCCTCCTCATCACATTCTGTGTTGTCGTCGTATTATCACCACCCTCCTCATCACATTCTGTGTTGTCGTCGTATTTATCACAACCCTCCTCATCACATTCTGTGTTGTCGTCGTATTATCACCACCCTCCTCATCACATTCTGTGTTGTCGTCGTATTTATCACCACCCTCCTCATCACATTCTATGTTGTTGTCGTATTATCACAACCCTCCTCATCACATTCTGTGTTGTTGTCGTATTATCACCACCCTCCTCATCACATTCTGTGTTGTCGTCGTATTATCACCACCCTCCTCATCACATTCTGTGTTGTTGTCGTATTATCACCACCCTCCTCATCACATTCTGTGTTGTCGTATTATCACCAACCTCTCCATCACATTCTGTGTTGTCGTCGTATTATCACCACCCTCCTCATCACATTCTGTGTTGTCGTCGTATTATCACCACCCTTCTCATCACATTCTGTGTTGTCGTCGTATTTATCACCACCCTCCTCATCACATTCTATGTTGTTGTCGTATTATCACCACCCTCCTCATCACATTCTGTGTTGTTGTCGTATTTATCACCACCCTCCTCATCACATTCTGTGTTGTTGTCGTATTATCACCACCCTCCTCATCACATTCTGTGTTGTCGTCGTATTATCACCACCCTCCTCATCACATTCTGTGTTGTCGTCGTATTATCACCACCCTCCTCATCACATTCTGTGTTGTCGTCGTATTATCACAACCCTCCTCATCACATTCTGTGTTGTCGTCGTATTATCACCACCCTCCTCATCACATTCTGTGTTGTCGTCGTATTTATCACCACCCTCCTCATCACATTCTATGTTGTTGTCGTATTATCACAACCCTCCTCATCACATTCTGTGTTGTTGTCGTATTATCACCACCCTCATCACATTCTGTGTTGTCGTCGTATTATCACCACCCTCCTCATCGCATTCTGTGTTGTCGTCGTATTTATCATGACCCTCCTCATCACATTCTGTGTTGTCGTCGTTTTTATCATGACCCTCCTCATCGCATTTCAGGCGGGATGTTCGGGCTGTTTGACGGTCGAATGGATGACATGTTAGTCCGACATGGAGAACTGACGAACAAAGTGAGAATCTGCTCGAAAGACGAGCAACTGCCAAACCCCTAGGACAGTAAATGGACCACCACCCCCACCTCCCTACATCCCAACCCCCAACCCCCCACACAGACCACGATTGGTAGTAAGGACGAGAGGTCTTCATTCTTCAAATCAAATGACATTCCCAGATATCCCAGAAAGAGGAATATCGCTGTAATTCTTTTCAGTAATTCACGCCACAGACCATCTAATGATCTCTGTTCTCACCGAACATTTGAACTCTTGCTTCATGGTGATTGGCTAGTTCACCCACACTTTGCTCCGCCTCCAGCGTAAGACACGCCCACTCAAACAAAACAAACTCCCGTGACGTTACGACGGCGGGAAAATGAAACAGTAAAAATATAGATGTCACCAGAGGTATTCCGATAATTGAACTGCAGATGTGCTCACTTGAAAAAGAGATGTCTGCATAACCACTGTATTTCTGTAAATGTGCATTGTTTATAAACTGAAGTGTACAACGGCAATATAAAAACTGAATTGATGTTCTCCAAACATGCCCATCATGCATTTCCTTATGTACACCAAACATGTATAAATCTATTATGTTGAATAAAGATAACATTGTAGCAAAGAAACGTCTCTATCCTGCTTAATACAAAAATCTAATTTCACATCGTCTTGGATGAACTATGTCTCAAACTACACAAGAAGTGTTTTCAGGGAATATGTCTAAAAGTCTAGTCTATTTTTCAGTGATTATGTATAGTCCTTAAAAACTTTCAGTGATTATGTATAATAACTCAGTGAATCAGACATTGTACATAATCACTGGAAATTTTCAGGGATTATATTTAATCCCTGGTTGTACATATTCACTATAACATATATAACAAGTAATCAGAAGCGACACGATTATGATCTAAATCACAAAAGCGACCATAAAATATTGAGATTTATATTTTGTTATTAACAACAGTCGGATACCCTGCAGCCAATACAACCATTGTCCGAGCATATTTACGTAATGCAAGAATTTAGTGCAGGGCGCGATCAGGACGAGAGTATGAATACCCGGTATTGCCACACCCTACTGGTACATGGCAGTGGGTAGTCCAGTGGTTCCAATCGCTTGCTTGCCACGCCGAAGACCTACGGTTTCATTCCCCACTCACTCACTCACTCACTCACTCACTCACTCACTCACTCATCTGTAAGGATAAAGTATCAAACGGTGTGTAGTACTGTACGATCTCACCCCCGTGAAGATCCGGGTTAGAATTGGTCTTCAGCAAACCATGCTTGTCGTACGGGGGGACTAGCGGGATCGTGTGGTCGGGTTCGTTGACTTGGTTGATGCACGTAGTTCTGTACCAATTGCTTAAATCGATAACATGATGATTATGATGGGAATAGAGCTAGATTGTAATTCGCTAGGAGGTGTGGTTGGACGATATAGTAGCTTCTCTGTGACCTGAACGAGGATCGAATCACTCGTAAAATCCTTTTGGGGGTCATCATTTAGAAGTTGGGGTAATAGGGAAGAATAAGATTTGATTTTTGTTAAGTTTGTTGTTAAAAGTCACACTCAGCAGTCGGCATTATTCCAGCTCTATGGCGGCGGTCTGTAAATAGTCGAGTCTGGACCAGACGATCTAGTGATCAACAGCATGACAATCGATCTACGCAATTGGGATACGATGACATGTGTCAACCAAGTCAGCGAATCTGCCCACCCGATCCCGTTAGTTGCCTTTTACAAGCATGGGTTGCTGAAACACAAGTCTAACCCGGATCTCCACGGGTGGGAAGAGTAAGAATATATAGATCTACAATTTCTTTATTACAATGCGAGCTTCATGACGGTGTTCGAACCTACCCCGAAACATTGTCGCCATAGTAATGAAGACTTTGTGCATCCATACATTCGTATTCTTTCTCACTCATAAAATCATTTTCTCTGGAGACAAGAAGAAACATACATCATAACTTTCGCACCCAGCTAGTACATCTTTATTTTGAAAATTATATTCCCCCAGACAACTAAAACTCTGGTTTATTGTTGCAGAGGTTAATCATTTGGTTGTACTTCATATGAGTGAAATAGACAATTACTCGTCTTCTTTGTCCATCGCGCAGGGGAGGTATTAAAACTTGGAGTATGGTGCGGTGTTTAGCAAGTCCTAATATTCTTGATGACTGATTATGTCCCCCGCCTAAGCCTCGAGTCAGAAGTCCCCCTGACTAAGTTTAGATGTGACTCTGCTTCTATCCAAATGAATTAGATCGGTGCACAAACATGTCTTAAGAGACAGGAAATGTTTGTAGTTGAAGATGAATGCCGTGTCACATTAAAGTGTCCGGTGTAAACTGTTGAGCGATATAGTTTTTAAACAAGCGTCACGAGATGCACATAAATTATATCAGCATGTGTGATGTGCAGGAAAGAGCTCATATTTTGTCAGATCATTTGTTATACCCCTTCACGTCCGAATGTAACACGACACTTGACTAAAAAAAGAAAAAGTGTTCATGCAGCTGCTGTTAGCTTTATGGTATGTTCTGTATTGATAATGTAATTATTTAGAAAAGTCTCTCTGATGATGCAAAGAATTGGGATACGACGGTACAGTCTGTCTGCCTGTATTCTCCAGTAAAGAGTGGTATAAGAGTTTTAGTCTATACCTCGTGATGGTTATAAGGCGGTACAGTCTGTCTGCCTGTATTCTCCAGTAAAGAGTGGTATAAGAGTTTTAGTGCATACCTCGTGATGGTTATAAGGCGGGACAGTCTGTCTGTCTGTATTCTCCAGTAAAGAGTGGTATAAGAGTTTTAGTGTATACTAGTACCTCGTGATGGTTATAAGACGGGACAGTCTGTCTGCCTGTATTCTCCGGTAAAGAGTGGTATAAGAGTTTTAGTGTATACCTCGTGATGGTTATAAGACGGGACAGTCTGTCTGCCTGTATTCTCCAGTAAAGAGTGGTATAAGAGTTTTAGTGTATACTAGTACCTCGTGATGGTTATAAGACGGGACAGTCTGTCTGTCTGTATTCTCCAGTAAAGAGTGGTATAAGAGTTTTATTGCATACCTCGTGATGGTTATAAGACGGGACAATCTATCTGTCTGCATTCTCCAGTAAAGAGTGGTATAAGAGTTTTAGTGCATACCTCGTGATGGTTATAAGGCGGGACAGTCTGTCTGCCTGTATTCTCCAGTAAAGAGTGGTATAAGAGTTTTAGTGCATACCTCGTGATGGTTATAAGACGGGACAGTCTGTCTGCCTGTATTCTCCAGTAAAGAGTGGTATAAGAGTTTTAGTGTATACTAGTACCTCGTGATGGTTATAAGACGGGACAGTCTGTCTGTCTGTATTCTCCAGTAAAGAGTGGTATAAGAGTTTTATTGCATACCTCGTGATGGTTATAAGACGGTACAGTCTGTCTGCCTGTATTCTCCGGTAAAGAGTGGTATAAGAGTTTTAGTGTATACCTCGTGATGGTTATAAGACGGGACAGTCTGTCTGCCTGTATTCTCCAGTAAAGAGTGGTATAAGAGTTTTAGTGTATACTAGTACCTCGTGATGGTTATAAGACGGGACAGTCTGTCTGTCTGTATTCTCCAGTAAAGAGTGGTATAAGAGTTTTATTGCATACCTCGTGATGGTTATAAGACGGGACAATCTATCTGTCTGCATTCTCCAGTAAAGAGTGGTATAAGAGTTTTAGTGCATACCTCGTGATGGTTATAAGGCGGGACAGTCTGTCTGTCTGTATTCTCCAGTAAAGAGTGGTATAAGAGTTTTAGTGTATACTAGTACCTCGTGATGGTTATAAGACGGGACAGTCTGTCTGCCTGTATTCTCCGGTAAAGAGTGGTATAAGAGTTTTAGTGTATACCTCGGGATGGTTATACCAACGTTATATCAAATCCAGAGAAACCCTGCAGATGTCCACATCTGTTGTTGAGGTCGACACAGATGTTGTAGACACCAGGTTGGTAGTATTGATGTATCTGAACTGTGTCGAATAATTCTGTAACCTTTCAGTGGTCAGTTTGAGATTGTATTCAGTATTTAATATATACTGCAAGAAAAGTTTTATAAACCCGGTCTTACATATGAAAGATTCTGATCAGGATGAATCGTATAATTCGGATGGGTGGAACGAGAAGGTCGGATGGGTGGGGAAGGGGGTCTAAGGATATTGACGTAAAGGAGGGAATTCTCTCCAGTGATTCGACACTAGGCATCGTGACACGCCCTTGAAGTCACGTGGAGTCAAAAGCTAGTTCACAAATTCAGTATTGTGTGTGTCCACGATTCGTATTGATGCCGGCTTGACAACGACGACGCATAGACGACACAAAGTGATTAAAGAAAGCTTGGAGAATGTTGTTCCATGTCTGAACCAACGCATTACGTCAACAGCTCATTCTGGGCCTGACGTTAACGTCGCTACATTTCATCCCAAGCGTGTTCGATAAGGGACAGGTCCGGAGAAACAGCTGGCCAGGGGAGTACCGGAATGTTCTGCTGTCTCAGGAAATCTGTCACAACACGAGTGGCATGTGGACGGGCATTATCTGGCTGAAGGATGAAGTTACGTCTCTGTCCTTGAATGAACGGCTGCACATCATCTCATCCCTGTATCGCAGACCTGTCAGATTGCCATTGACAATGACAGGTTGTGTCCGACCATGAGATGCGATGCTCCCCCATACCATAACGTCACCGCCACAGAACTGTCGACCTTGAACAACGCACGCGTCAGCATACCGTTCACCTCGCCATCTGTACACCATTGTCCTGCCAGCTGAGATGTCCAGATGAATTCTCGACTCGTCAGTAAACAAAACACCATCCTAATCTTGTCTCCTGTACCGTAGATTCTACCTGTACCAGGCAAGACGTGATTGTCGGTGATGTTGGAGCAAAACTGGACGTATTGCAGACCGTCGAGGCCAGATGTTGTGCGCCCCCAGTCGGTTCCATACAGTCCTGGAACTGTTTGGACGTGAGCCAGGAATGGTCCGAGCAGACAAACTGGCAGTCTGGAATCGATTCCGAAGATAGATCAGCCGAATGTGGTTGTCTTGCTGACGTGACGTCACGTGGACGGCCGCTCCGAGGCAAATCTGTCGTGTTCCCAATACGTTGAAAACGTCTCCATAGAGATGAGATCGTGCGTCGATGGACACCAAAATATCTGGCCATTCCAGTCTCCAGCATATTCACGGCGCGGAGATGTTGATTTTCTGGGAGCCGTGGCATGACATACGCGCAGTTTAGGTTGAAATTAACGCGTTTTCCACAACATTCAGAGGCTAGAGAATATCAACCGTTCAATTTTCAATATCAGGTGTGTGAACTTCAGGTGTCAAAACTGTTACTTTTTGTCCTCGTTAGTATATGTTATGCTTATATGGATGATACAGATGTTAAACAGTGGCGTTAAGTGGCGAATCATCTGCCTCAGTGTAGAAAGTTCTGACATCTTTGAGTTAGGTTTATAAGGGGAGTTAATTTTAGAATACAATTGTTAATTATATCATTTATACATTTAGCTTTGTTTTTTGTGGTTTCACACCTTGTTCTTTTTAAATGTTCAAACATAAAAACAATGTTGACTA